CAGGCTCAGTCTCTTGACAGTGTGTGTGTGTGAATTTGAGTTCTGTTTTATATTTCTCCCCCATTAAGGTTATCTGGCTTGAACAAAGTAAGCGTTCAGTCTGCCTAAAGACAATATTTGCCTCTCTGCAGCATGTGTTACCAATAACACCCAACTCTTTCACTTGCTGAAGGAAATCTAAACTTTCTTCCTCTAATTATTAACCTTGGGAGTCTGAGCAAGTCCCTCACTCAGTCTTTTCTGAACAACCGTTTACTCGGCTAATTGTAATGCCTCCAGACTTTCCCTGGTTGATGATGTACTTCTCTAGGTTGGGGGTATTTTTCCTCTTGGCTGAGACCGGCGCCCAGCCTGCAGTAAGGATTGAGCGTTGGGCCTGCTGCTTGGTGCTGGTGATGAGCAATGCCCTCCCTGGTGGGTGGTGTATGTGGCTCTCTTGTTAGGGGCGTCACAGCCCGCAGGCAGCAGCTCTCTAGGGACCCTCTTCGAACAAAGCCCAGAATTTGTCATCTCTTTTGTGGCAGGAGAATATCCATGACTCAGAATAAACCTAGGATAGCCAGGTCACGTGTCCCAGGGTCCGCTCAGGTTTGGCAAGCGTGCCCGTTTGCTTGAATGTGGCTCCCAAACATCAATCCCATCAGCAGCTCACCCAACCCTTCGGTGTTCTGGAAATTTTCTTCGTGCTCTGCCCCCTACATTTGGCACGCCCTTCCCAAAGTGAGGCTCCTGTGTGATTACACAATCCTAGGTTCCTCTCTCCTTGCACTGCATTGTTGCTCTCCATTCAGCCTGTTGATTAAGTCACATCACAGCTGAAGACGTGGGTTCTGCCCAGTTGGGCTCTGCTGTCTTCGTGCTGCCAGTGGGGCTTGCTTTTACAGTTATCAGTGGCCTGAGCGGGGTCTCAGGGGCTCCGCACCTGCTGCAACGCCGCTTTCCTTCTCGCTGCGGAACGCACAGAGGCGGGCGGGTTGGGCTTCTCTGACACCTGTTTCCTCCTTCCAGCCTGTGTTGTATGTGCTTAATGAAGCTAATAATATCGTGCTTATTTAGCACTCTGATGATTAATTTTCCAACGCGTTGAGACGGCGGTTTATGGCTTTGTGGCTGCCGCTGAAGAGGAGCTGCCGTCACCCTGCATCCCAAGCTCAGACGCTGTGCCGAGAGCCAGGCGTGCGCCGTGGACGCTGTGCCAATTTCTGACGCCGCCTTTAGTATTCACTCAAACGAAACAAAACAAGAATGTGCAGCTTCTTATTCCTAATTAAGATTTTGGATCACCTTTTTCTAATTTCTTCTCTCGTGAAGGGGAAAAACCCCCACCCTTATCCCCACCATCTGTGCGTTCCTCCTCTCTGGGTTTGTGCGGTAGCATTCCTCTGACTCGTCTTGCATCCACCGCAGGTGTGTGCACCATTGACCTTGATCTTATGCTTATGGTCAGAGTTAGCCGTGTGTCTCGCACCTGGTGGAGAAAGCACATCTCACTGCCATGACGCAGAGTGAGTCTGGGTGGAGGGAGAAGTTGTTCACCTTGGGTGAGAATCACATCAGGCCATGCCCTTTGTAGGATGCGCTGAACCAAACCTGTAGCTGGAAAGTTTTGCTGCAGTTCAGTGTGCAGCCTCTGCAGCGCAGAGTAGGACCACTCTGTAGGACAGTGGTTCTCAACCTTCCCAATCCCTCAGTCCATTAGCACAGTTCCTCATGTTGTGGTGACTCTTCAACCATCAAATAATTTTCGTCGCTACTTCATAACTGTAATTTTGCTACTGTTTTGAATCGGTGACTGCTGTGAAAGGGTCGTTTGACCCTCAAAGGGGTCGCGACCCACAGTTTGAGAACCGTTGCCATACAATTTCCAGGGCAGTCACCTTTCCCAAAGCCGACTGCCCCGTCTTTCTCCCGGGGTGGGTTTGAACTACCAGCCTCTTGGGTTAGCAGCCAAGCGTTTGAACCACTGTGCTACTTGGACCGCTGTGATGTTCTAGACAGGGGGCTAAGGAAAATGATGAAGCCAGAGAAGTGTGCCGGTGCTGTTTTCTCTCCTGCCCTCCTCCCTGCCACGCTCCCCTAAGCACCTGTGGTCAGCCAGTGGCACCCCAGCAGCTCCCCGCCTGCGCTCGGCAGGCCCACTGTGTCCTTGTTGCACCCTGCCACCCCCACACCGCCAGCAGAGGAAGTGAGCACACACACCCCTCACTTCGTGGCATGGCTAGACCCCGGAGACCAAGTGGTTAAGCAAAAATGGAGGATGACCACATCGGACCAAGTCACATCATCATACAGCTGCCAGAGGGCACCCTTACACACCTGCCAAGCATTTGAGCGTCACAGTGCAGCCCAGGTGACCCCAGGCATGAGCCAGCACAGCCAGTGCTACTCTCACCTCACATCCTGGTGTCTGGGACGGAGAGACATAGACAGTGAGTGCACAGAATAGTCAGACAGTAGCTTTTAAAGCGAATGCTGTAGACGTGAGGTATTGAACATGAAGATAGATAGCTGACAGGTGAGGAGTCGCATAGTCTCTAAAGCGCCAGCGCAGGTGCCCAATCGATGCCGTATGCACCAGTGACGGCCCTACCGGGAAGAGAGTTCACTGTTTAAGGGGGTGTGGGTGGACGAGAGCCAAGCTCTGTGGCCCTCACTGTTGGTCAGGTGGGAGGTGGGCTTCCTCACAGGCGCAGGGTGGTGGAGGGGAAACCGGACAGGCCCGGAGGGAGGTCGAGGGAAGACAGCACTGACAGCCCCCATTTCTGCGGGGCTTGTGTCTCCCCTTTCTGGAAACTTCTGACTCCGTGCACATCTCTCCTCTCCCTGTGCTGCAGCATGGCCAACTTGAAGATTGAACTGTCGAAGCTGGACAGTGACGCCTGGCCCGGGGCGCTGGACATCGAGAAGGAGAAGCTGATGCTGATCCACGAGAAAGAGGAACTTCTGAAAGAGCTCCAGTTCGTCACGCCGCAGAAGCGCACGCGAGCCGAGCTGGAGCGCCTGGAGGCCGAGCGGCAGCGGCTGGAGGAGGAGCTGCTGGCCGTGAGGAGCGTGCCCAGCCAGGCTCTGGCCGAGAGGTGGGCGCCTTTCCTGGGGACGGGCAGGCGGACCCCCGGAGTGCATCTCCGTGCTGCCCCGAGGCCATCTTCTCTGGCACATTCCCTTTGGACATCTCAAAGGCCCCTGTTGTGAGTGGGCCGAGAAAGGGCCCCAAAGGCCTTTCTCCCTGCAGAGCAGGGAGGAGTGCGAGTCCTCCCAGGGCCCTGAGGGATCAGTGCTCCCGGGTTTTGCTGGGAACACCGGAATGCCTGTGACCGATGCAGAATAACTAAGGAATGTTCACACAAAATCAGGAATGCAGTGCAGCACGGATGGACGGACGGACGGACCGAGTCATAGTAATAGCTGTAAAGTATTGCATTCTGATCAAAAAGATTATCTAGACCAGTGGTTCTCAACCTTCCTGTGTTGCAACCCTTTCATACAGTTCCTCATGTTGTGGTTTCCTCCAACCATACAATTATTTTCATTGCTACTTCATCACTGTCATTTTGCTACTGTGATGAATTGGGTGACCCCTATGAAAGGGTTGTTCAACCCCCAAATGGGTCGCGACTCACAGGTTGGGAAGCGCTGCTCTAGACTGTCAGAGCCACTTCGGCCTTCTGTCCCGGGTGTTGTTGCTCACAAGAATGCAAACGCCTATTGCTTTCCGTTTCACAAGGGAGAGACAGTGTGCTCCCTTGGATACCTTAACAGGTCACGGAATGCACCCGGGTTTGTTTGACAGCTGAAACCCTCTTCTGAAGCTGCAGGAGGTGAAGACGTGAAGGAAACTTGCCGTTTTTTTCCTGATCCTTTTTGTGGGAAACTGTAAATTGATCACTCGATGTAAACAAAATCCCGCTGTGCAAACAGAGCAGTTGGAATATCCAGCTCGGGCCCCGGGTCACTTTGGCATTCGCACACCTGCCTAGGAGATGCCCGGGGCTTGCTGACCCAGGGGTCACACACCTGTTTCAGCCACAGGCCGTGTCGCCTTGTAAACCCACAGCACACCTGTCCTGTAGGCCTGGCAGGTAAGCAGCCCTGCCCTTCCCAAATGACAGCAGAAAAAGGCACATCAGTATACCTGGAAGTGAAGTTAAAACTCCCCTTCAATAAGGCAGTTGCTGCTGCTGCACACACACACCCTATTTAAAAAACATTCTTGGCATTTGACCTTTTCTTTCTGTCCTCTCTATAAATGCCTATGAATGTGTTTCCACATAATAGCACAATATTTGAAATGTTGGGGGTGGGAGCCAACAGGAGAAAACGAGCATTCCTGGTTAGTTATTAAGTCCGTAGACTTGCTCACCTGATTAACCATTTGGTGGGTTTGACGCTTGTGAGTTCAAACTTTAACCCGGGGTGTGTGTAGCTACAGCCACGGAGCTGCTAAGGCATGGAGAAATAGCCCAAAGGAAAAGTCTCTACAGAGGTGCTGTTTGACCCTTTAAGCCCTCTCCTTTCCTTTCCCGTTTGCGTTGACATCTTTGTCTCAGTGGTGCCACTGAAAGGTCGTGCTTCAAGGCAGGAGGGAGGGAGGTGGCCAGGTGAGAACCCACCTGACAGAGACAGAAAGGAACACGTGGGGCGAGGAGGCAAGGCAGGACCAATCATGTTGTTGAGATGGGGTTTTCCCCTATTTTCTTCCGGAATTAGTTTTTCCTGAATCACCATTAATGTTGCCAAGTCTCTGTATGTGTACAATTTTTAAGTTTCTCGGATAAAAGTTTCATCATCACCTGTCCGTATGATGAAATGGGCCGCTCTTGTGTGACCCGTGTTGAGAAAACAGCGGACATTTGTATCGATGCTGTGTTGCTGCGGGGTGTCACTGGGCCGGCTCACACAGGGCTCAGCAAGCATTACAGAATCATGCATATTTCATGTGATGCTGAGCCCATCTCAGCCATCCTACTGTGTGGCATGTCGATCTGAGAAGGGCACTTAGCGTAGCCTTTAGATTTCTGCTGTGAGGGAGAGAAAACGGGGGTGTGCTTGTTTGAATCAGCTTTTACAGCATGATGGGTTGCTTGAGTTGTTTTTTTTTAAATAAGGCTAGAGCTCTATAGATATATAAAGAGTGGTGCTGGTGGTGAAGGAGCATCAAACATACAGTTTGTTCCTACTGACCCAGAATTTAACCTTTATCCGTGCACACACGATAGCTGTCAAAATACCACCTTCAAAGTACTCTCCATTACACTTAATAGATTTGTCAAATCTGCAATTCCGTTCTTGGTAACAATTTTCAAACTCATCTGGTTGGATGGCTGACAGCACCTCCCTCATTTTTTTCTTCATCTCTTCCGCTTCGTCAAATCACTGCCCTTTCATGTCCCCCTTCATTGCTGGACACAAAAAGAAGCCTGGAGCAGGGTCGGGTGAGTAAGGTGTGTGGGACAAGAGAGGCATGCTGGTTTTTGCTCAAAACTGGAGCACTGAGATGGCTGCATGAGCAGGTGCATTGTCATGGTGGCAAAACCATTTCCCCATCTGCCACAAATCAGGCCTTTTTTGTCACACACTGTTATGCAATCTTTTCAGAAGCTCTAAATAGAAAGCTTGATTAACAGTCTGACGTGGTGGAGTGAACTTCAAATGCACTGTCCCCTTCATATATAAAAAAAGAGCATTGTCTTGATCTTTGATTTCACTTGAATGAGCTTTTGGGTGGGCCCGGGGACAATGGCATTTTCCACTGGCTAGATCGGGGTCGTAAGAATAGCTCCATGTCTCATCACCAGGATTGACCTTGGAAGAAAAGTCTGGGTCACTTAGGAGCTATTCTTTCAAAGCACGGCAAGTTTCCACTCAGTGCTCTTCTTCCTGGTCAGTCAGAACCCGAGGCACACATTCCACAGCAACCCTTCTCATTCCCAAATCTTCCTTTGAATTTTCTTAAGTGACCTCCAGATAACTTAAATGACCTCCAGATCGTCCAGAGAACTTTCCCATCTCTTCAATGGCCCGGTGTCGGTCTTCAAGCACAAGTGCATGAATTTTGTTGACATTTTCATCCAGTTGGGAAGTGGACCGGTGTCCAGAACGAGATTTGTCATCAATCAACATCTCACCTTTTTTGAAACAAGAAAACTACTCATACGCTGGAATTGTTCCCATCGCCCTGTCCTTGTAGTCTGTGTTCAACATCACAACAGTTTCTGCAGCATTTTTCCCGAGTAGGAAACAAAATTTCACAGCTGCATGCTGTTCCTTAAATCGGCTTTCACAAAAAATGACGTTTGAGCAAAACTACTTAAGAAAAAATTCACTGTGACCAGAAAGAACCTTCCCAGGCGATGCCACTTGGTGCACTAACGCAGAAGGGAGTTACTGTACTCCAGTCTCCTCTAGTGGGAAAAATGCGTACTATGAATGCTCCGCCCTGGGGAACTCTTGACCCCGTTTGGGGGGTGGGTGTCTGGTGAGTACGTTGACGTTCTGAGTCACTCAGAACAGTGGAGTCCTTCAGTGTTCCAAAATTAGCAAGTGCTCATTTCCTCCCGAGCAACCTGGGCGGGCTGGGCTGCTAACCACGAGGTGGGGGTGGGGGTGGGGGTGTTGGAGGGAGGTGAAGCTGTCCACTCCCATAAAGATGTACAGCCTCGCAGACGCCATCTAGGGTCTCTGTGAGTTGGAATTGACTTGAGGCAGTGAGGGCAATCGCTTTTCCAGTGACCCCGGCCAAAGCGCTTCAGTATAGCGCAGTGAACCGTGGAGGGAATCCGCGTTTCTTGTGCTCCATCAGCATACTTTCCTCGTTGGTACCCTTGGAGGCTCAAAACGGCTCAGAAGTCCCAAGTCCCAGGACGCTGGGTTTAGTTGTTGTTGTTGCTGATGTTCTTCCTCGTAATGGTTACACTTTGTCCTCGGCTCTGCCCCTCCCTCCCCCACCCTGTTCGGGATGCTGCCCCTGCATACAGGTGCATTTCTGCTCCGCTTGTTCCGTGGCAGCGAACACCCAGCCAGCAGTGCATGCCTTCCCCAGGGACACGGCAGGCATCGCCCGAGGTCGTTCTGGAAGTAAGAGTCTTGGTTTGAAGCTGCGTTTCAGCATAGCACAGAGGGTGCGTCACCAGCACCTAAGCCCTCCGTTTCTTCCCTGGTATCTACGGGACCATCAAAGAAACTATCTTCTGTTTCCCATCAGCAGTGTGGATGGGTCATGATCCGAGGGCTGGCTTCAGGCCCGAATCAGAGAACGTCACCCCTGGGTGACGTTGACACCTGACAGAGCGGTCAGGGAGACACCAGCACACAGGCGGGGGCAGGAGGGCACCCTGCTCTGATGTTCCCCATCTCTCTCTGAGCTTGGGATCTCCCCGGGGCACGGGAACAGGGACAGGAAAAGTGTGTCACCTGTTGTCTACAGTAACATGCAAGAGCAGCCCCTAAGCAACTGCCGAGAGGAGGCAGCCATTACTGACAGGAGTCAGAAAGTATCGGTCTTAAAATTCTCATGCCGAGCAAAAGTCGCAGGATTGGCTTCTGACGCCAAGTGAAAGCTCCTTAGAAGACTGGGGGAATGTTCCCTTATGTACAAGTTTTAGAACTTGACAGGTGTCTCTCCTGCTTCTGAAGATGTGGATTTTAGTATAAAACAGGTTTTCTCCAAATCTTAATGTACCTTCTAATTCAGTTAGTTTACGTTGTATTCATTGTTTTCCTGGTTACCTGTTTGTTTAAATGTGAGCGATTAAAAATACAGACTGTGGTCCTTTTCAAATGTATCTCTGGAAGCTGTGACGTACAGGCAGTTCCCAGTTACAGATGGACGTAGACACCGTGCATTCACAAACCAAGCCCCGGACAAAGCTACTATGCTAAAACTTGAGGTACAGACGATGCTTTGTAATAATAAGCCTGTGCTACATTGTAATGTGCATCACATTATTATCGGAATAGTAATAGGAGATACTTCACTTACCTAGAAGTGTTTCTTTAATTTTTTCTGTGAATAAGAAGGCAAACTACTTACTAATATCAGCTTTTGACTGATGTTAAGATATGGCCTGTACCTGATTTTGCTGACATACATGCAAGTTTGACTTAAAAGACGGACTGAGAAATGGAACTTTATTAATACAGGGGCTCCCTGTATTCAAGCAAATGGGAAAAGTTACCTTTTTATTTAAAAACACATTGAGTTTGTGTTGGTGCCACACCAAGAATCAATACCTACGACTAAACTGTGGGCGTTTTCCTTTACTGCAATGCCCAAGACACAGGCACACATCCCCGAGAAGTTTAAAATCAGGGAATGTCTTTCCCCTCTAAAGAAACGTGACTAAATGTATGTCACCACCCTGCCCCGTGTGCCGAGTGCACGCTGAGGCTTAGAGCAAGCAAGGGCTGTGCTTGTGCACAGAACGTCCTCCCGGCCATTTCTCCCCATCCTGCTAACGTGTCCCTGTGCCATCACGTGGATTGTGACTCACGCTGGCACCATAGGACGGGGTAGATCGCAGGTTTCCAAGATGGTAACTCTTACCGGAGTCGAACGCCCAGTCTTTCTCCCCCGGAAGTGGCTGGTGCAGTCGAACTGTCAACCTTGTGGTTTGCAGCCCGACATGTAACCATGAAACCACACAGCTCCTCCACAGACACGAAAAGACAGGCCTTCCAGTCGATGGTGACTCCCGCTGCCCGTGGCGCAGTGTCACGCTGCGCTCCCAGCATGGTCCAGCTGAAGCCTTGTCCGCTGTGGGCTCCAAGGGTGCGTTCAGGTAGAACTGCCCCATGGAGTTGGGGGAGAGGGGGGCCTTCCAGGGGAGCGGCGGCCACATCCTCCTCCCACAGGGCGGCTGGTGGATTCCCACCTCCTGCCTTTAGTGGAGTGCTTAATTACTGAGCCACCAGGGCACCTTCCTGTAGATGCAGTAACATGATAATCACCCTTGTACTGATGGGAGCAGGGAGGCCCTTTAGCAAGAGGCTTGCCTAAGCAAACAGAGGTAGATGAGAGAGCACGGTTTATCTGAATCTCCCGCCGCTGCTGTTACCGCCGCTGCTGGCGGGGTCCCCCTGTACTCTCGCCTGACTTCAGATGACACGGACTCTATGCATGCAGGCTCTTGGACGGGTGTTCGTATGGGTGCTTGTATATTGAATACATACAGATGACTTACTATGCTAATAATACAGTTCTCATACTACTTGAATGAAAAGAATTCATTAAACTGTGCCTAGTTGCATTAGGTTGAAATGTTAATGACAGTCTGGTGCAGGTGCTGAGATGTGCTGTTCATACGGAATGCAATCGCATCTGGGTTTTTGTTGTTGTTGTTTTTGGCGTTATTCTTCCCTTTTGCAGTTAGGCTCACAATTAGCTCACCGTGGCAATATGGACCAGTTTATTTCTTAATTGCACAAGTTTTCATCAAGTTAGGATGGCATTTTCATGCCTTACAACAGGGGCCCCGCCCCCCACCCCCCCATTCAGTACTTAAGATCCTCTCCCAAGGATCGCCACTGCCGAGCGCTTCAGGAATGGAGCCACTTGTCTCCAGGGGTCTTTTCTTGTCCCCTCACTGCCCTCTCCTAACTCCTACATGCAGGAGGAGACCCCCACCCTTTGCTCAGGGAATAAAGTTTAGAACACAGGAACCTTTTCCTTTCTGGTGGCGCGGGCCGGTTTGGTGCAGACGCCGCGGTCATGTAGCGTGGCCGTGAGGGGGTCTGGCCACGCCACTTCATGCTGGTCGCCCCTCCCTCTCGACGACCTCACTCGGTGGCTCGCTCCCTCCCTCTCGACTGGGCGCCTGTCTGTTCTCAAGCTTTTCTTCAGCATCCTGTCCTCCGTCATAGCCATTGGAAGACACTCACCGCTCTCGCTCTCTTTGGTAGATTGAAGTTGGAAGAGAGAAGGAAAGAGCTGCTACAGAAACTTGAAGAAACTACCAAATTAACTACTTACTTTCATTCGCAACTGAAAAGGTGAGCCGGGTGGGCTCTGGAGGTTGGGGTGGGGGTGGGGGCGTGGGGCGTGGTCAGGTGGGGATTCCTTTTGGGACAGTGCCAGGTGCAGATCTAGTTGACCTTCGCCGGCTGTTCATTTTACCTGCAACCCTCTGAAGGTGACCGAAATAGTTACGCACGGTGAAAATTTGGAGGCCCAAGCCTAAAGCTCTGTGGGTCTTTTTCTGGAAGCTGCCATTCATCTGTGGGATATATTTGAAATGTGTCCTGCAAGAAGTAGGATACACTCGGGACACCAGTTGATTGTTGGGAAGACAGCACATATCCCTTCCCCCTTGTTTCAAAAAGGGGGAAATGGCCAAGATGTAGCTCAAAATAATTAACCACAGATTTTTTTTTTCTCATAATAATTGGAATAATGCTCACTCTGGTCTTAGGCACACAGAAAAAGAGTAGTGGGCCCAAGAGCCTTTGGCACAACCTTTGATTTCTAAGCCTGCCTCCCTCGCCCCCTTTCTCTCTGAAAAATAGGGGTTTAGTCGTTAAGCAAAATAACCACATTTTAGCAGTACCGCTTGCCCGTCTTCTCCCCACCTCTGACTTCCCAATTGTCACGTCGCTTCTGGACATCTGTGCAGCTAGGTTGACCAGTGGGTGTGCCATCGTTGTTCTGCACCATCGAGTCGGTTCCGCCCCAGAGAGATCCTGTGCACAACAGAACGAAACACGGCGCCCGGTCCTGCGCCGTGCTCACACTTGTTCCTGTGCCCGAGCCCACTGCGCCAGTCCATCTCCTTCACTACCCTCCATTTACCGAGCAGGAGGTCCTTCTGCAGGGACTGATCCCTCCCTGAGAGCATGTCTCGCCATCCCTGCCTCCAGGGAGCATCCTGGCTGCACTTCTTCCAGGATAGATGGGTTTGCCCTTTTAGCGGTCCACGGTCCTTTCCACGTCCTTCTCAGCCCCACCGTTCCAGTGCATTGATTCTTCCTTGATCTTTCTTTATGTAAGTGCGTGTGTGTGTGTGTGTGTGTGAGAGAGAGAGAGAATATACCATTTTTAGGCACAGTGGGATTTCTCTGGTTGTGGCTTCTGACCTCTGGCATCTTTGTACTCCGTCTACGGCTCTGAAGGAGCCACTGGGGTTGTGACTGGATCCCGTTGTCTGCATCACACGTCTGACGTGCGTCTCTGCGACTCTCCCCACAGCCTCTCCGCCAGCACTCTGTCCATGTCTTCTGGGAGCAGCCTGGGCTCGCTGGCGTCCAGCCGGGGGTCCCTGAACACCTCCAGCAGAGGCTCCCTCAACTCGCTCAGCTCTTCGGAGCTGTACTACAGCAGCCCGGGCGACCAGCTGGATCTGGACTATCAGTACAAACTGGACTTCCTTCTGCAAGAGAAGGGCGGCTACATCCCTTCTGGGCCCATCACCACCATCCACGAAAACGAAGTCGTGAAGTCCCCCAGCCAGCCTGGCCAGAGTGACCCCTGCGGGGCGGCGGCCACGGCAGCTGGCCACCCGCCCCCGCTGAGCGAGGTCCCCAAGTCTGTGACGTCCCTGTCGTCCAGGTCCTCCCTGTCGTCCCTGTCCCCGCCCGGTTCGCCCCTGGTGCTGGAAGGCGCCTTTCCCGGGCCTGCTCAGGACACCCCCCTGCAGTTCACTGCTGACTTTGAAGAATGTGAGCTGAGTGGGCCCTTTGCAGACATCGGCCTGGGGGAGACTGCGATCCCCCCGCTGGACGCCGACTTGGGAACAGCCTCCCGGTCCTTTTTGGAGGAGAAGGGCCTGAGTGAGGGGGCGAGGGAGCCGCTGCACGAAGGCAGTGCAGGTGAGTGAGCTGGCGGAGCTGGGCCCGCCCCGCAATCCCTCTCCTTGTTTTCAGGAGGGTGGTTGCCTGGCTGGCCAGAGGGGCTCCTTTTTCCTGAAATACCCCCAGCCCTACCCTCAAAAAGGTATGATTTCCCCCCCTGTCTTCTGTTGACTCACTTTGCCTTCATTTGAAAAGGGGATTTCACGGAAACACCTGGGCGGTTTTCTTTATGAACTGAAGCCCCTTCTCCTCCCGTTAACAGATGTCATCATGACGTGCCCTGTGCTGGCGTCTGGGGGGCCTCCATGTGCGGCCGCTCGCTGGGAGCATACAGAGTCTGTGAACATGCTCCATGCTTCCAAATAAAACTCAGGTTCAGAAATAGCAAGGCAAAGAAGTTGGCCTAAAACAGATTAAAACCAAGGCAATTAGCATACCAGCTAATTAGTACCAGGGTTCAGTGTTTAGATTGCTCAGGGAATTCTATATAAATATGATTTCTGTTTCGTGCCAGACTTCTTTTCCTGCCCAGAGCTAGTGTGGAGAAAGCAGGGTCCCATGCGTAGTACTGCGCTGCCATCTCCTGGCCACATTGTTCATTGCAGCCCAAGGACACCCACAAGTCTGTGCCCAGAGAACAAGTCCAGAGGGGACTCCCGTTTACTCTTTTGAAACCACTCTCCTTTGCGAGGCACGTGCTATGTGTTGAACGTGCTGATCCTCTTTGGCAGTTAGATGATGACCGGTGTCAGAGGACGCTGCTGGGTCTCTCCTAGAGCTTGCCTGAGGTGCAATGGGAACGGAAGGCTCTGAGAGGCTGATGGTTCACCCAGGCTGGATGCTCTTTTTTTTGTTTTGTTTTAATCATTTTATTAGGGGCTCATACAACTCTTATCACAATCCATACATACATCAATTGTGTAAAGCACATTTATACAT